CTGTGTAACTGCCTCGAGGGTGCTTGACCATTTTAACACAACGTGGTGCGATCATCCGAACACCGAGGGAGTGGCTTGTTTTACAACGTTGCCAAGCGACGAAAACCCTACCCCGATGGCAAACGCCAGGGGGGACAAAGGGAGGGGGTGGCCAAAGGTTGAGGCCTGATTGACGATGGACATGTGGTGTTGGGGCTCACCTCCCGAACAGCTGAGTACGAACAAAAACTCGACGGCTTTACCAGCCGCACCGGCATGAGCGGCGTGTACTCCACGCCGCCATCGGGCTGATCGGGACACCATCGGGCGGAAAGTTTCCGCTACGTGTGAAGGCGGTTCTACGCCGCCTCGACCTTGATACGGTACCCTTGCGACGTATGGTGCGCTTTGCGTAAAGTTGAACGATGCACTCACGGCAAGGATGAACAATATGAGCCAAAAGATGATGAGGCCGAGCTTCCGCGCAATGTGCTCGCTGTCGTGTAGGGTGTGTGCGAGGCTCCTGTGGTCCTTGAACGTATCCACGACTCCCAGCACCATTTCCTGCCTCGGCAAGTCGTGAACGAAAATGAAAGATGAGACAAGCGCCAGTTGTGGAGAATGATCATCCCACGTTTGTCGAAGACACCGTCGAATGTGTCCGCACTCAGTGAACAACATTGCTATGCATAGCTTGAAGGGTGTCCCTATTTCACTGTTAGTCCTATTTCGAACATTATTCGTGACCCACAGCGCATGACCGCGCTTTGTTCTCTGCATTGTGCAGCTTTGATTCGACTTCAACCGCGAAGGACTCGTTCTAAGTTCCCTGCCTACACGGAAACAACGAATCCTTCCGTGCGGCAGTACGTACCGCCTTCGTGATGGAGCCATTGTTGTCCATGTCAAAGATCGTGAATGCCATCTCCAGCACCTGCTCTTCCAGCATTGGACACAGGGTTTCCCTGGTCAGCAATTCTTCCTCCTGAGGCTTATCTACCTCGTCGCTGCTTCCCCCCTTCTGTGTGCTACCGTTCCCTTGAACGATGCTCTCCTCGTGCTCTTTCTGAACGGTGCCGTCAGCAGAATCTTTGCCCCTGCTGGCATCTCCGGCGTCGTTGTCGTTGCGATCCTGACTGCTAAAACTGCCTCCGTTTGCGATTTCCTTCGCAAGCTCGGCCACATCGTGACCGTGCCTCGGCGCCATACCATCGACCACACGAAGCGACGGAAACTCCATTTCTCCGCCACTGGCGGTGCCTTCCGCCTTCGACTCGCCAGCGACGAAGAGCTCGCTGTCTGCGAACGAGTCGACGTCTTGTATGACCGACAGGGCTCTTTTACCTCCTCCGTGGAACTCTCTGAACCTAGCCATTCCGCCACCGCCCTCGCTCGGCAAAACTTCGTTCCTCGGTCTCTCGCTGCTACCGGCATCACTCGCATCGGCCGTGTCGACAGTGACTGCGGCGGCGCCGGCGGCGCTATCACTGGCAGCTCTGGCATTGGGGCCCATACGCATCTTGTCGACACTGCTTGAAAGTTTGCTCGAGCCCCTGGTGACGATCGGAGACCCGCCGCCAGCTTCGCGGGGCGCGCTACCTGCGGCCCGTTCCTCCGCTCCCGAACGCGATCTTGTCCTCGGCGGAGGCTTCAATGTTGCGTCGGAAGAAGTTCCCTTCGCGGGCGATAGGCTGCCTACGTCGCTTGCCGTCCACGAGGAGGGCAAGCTCGCGCGGTTGCTCGGGCCGAGTCGACCGCCGCGAAAAGACCTAGCGCTCATCAAAGTGTTCGCGTTGCTGCCACCGCCGAGAACGGTCTGGCCCACGTTCGCCAGGTACGCCCAGCGCTTCGTCGAGGGGGAAGCGGGCGGGGTGCATCCCGGGGAGTACGTGCGACTCCTGAGGAGAAGCTGGTCGAACATGTATTCTCCGAGGGTCTTGGCGTCCCTGCTGGAGTTCAGCGTGTTGGACCCGCCTAGCTCGCTGCGGTCACCAGCCAACAGCAAAGAGAAGGGGGCATACACAGTTGGGATCATGGATTAAACGAGCGGACAAGAAATACTACCCGTTGAGGGAGACACCTTCAATCAGAGCGGAATGCTCTGGAGCTAGGGAAGGCCGCCGCACGGGGGACGACGCACCCATATGGAGAGAAAACAACGCCATAGTGTAGCCCCGAAGTATGAGGTGTAGCCAGCCCTTCACTTGAGGTCTGTCACTATCGTTCGGCATCTCAGCGGCTCGAGGAAAACTGCTGTCGACAGCATCGCACGCTTGTGGGGATCACCCCAGACTGACCACAACACACAAAGGTATGAGGACGCCTCGCACAGAAATGGAACACAAAACCAAACAGCACCTGAAAACAGCACAAAAACTCGGACAGCAAGCACAAAATACTGCGCACGCCGCCGGGGCAGACGAAACAAGCCGTGCCAAAGTAGACCGTAAAAAAAAAAAGGGCGTTCACTTGCTGCACCCAAGCGACAGCACTTCGGCCAACAACGAACGATCCCGCACCGGAAGAAAGCGTGCCCGAGCTTGTGCCTGGGAATGAAGCCCATCGCCTTCGAAACGGCATATAGCGAGATCTTCTCCTGCTCCTTGATTCCTCGCCGCCCCATCTCAATCGCGAACTTCTGGTCGTCTGGGTTGCACTTGCCCGTGGCAGCGTAGTCCGTCAGCAGCAGCAGGATATACTGCGCTAGGATGCTGCTCTGTTGGACCCCGGAGGGGCAATTTCGTTGTTGATTCGTTCATAACAAAACAGATAGTGAGGAATACGAATGGAGCGCTTGTGTGTTAGCATCCGCTCGTTGCCCCAGACTTTCCGCAACCATGCCATGCGGATACGCTGATACTACTAATAGGTTCTGTGAGCAGGTTAGTTTCGAGTTTTTCGCGCCATCTCGTAAGTCTGATCAGCATGAGTGCGGCATGTTTAGTTTGTGGTTCATCGGTTGACAAGATGCGCCGCAATGAAGATGGCGCTTTTTCTTGTTTCAAGGGAGTGTTCGGATATTGCCTCGATAGTGTAGAAAAAATCCCACAAAATATGCAGAACTGGGCCTGGCGGGTGTTCCTTCCGGTCTCAAACCAAAATTGGGACAGACAGGTGGCCTTCACAAAGTTGAGGGGTCACACGAGGTTCTTCAACGCTTGGTCACCGGACCATATTTGTTGGAAATTAGAAACGTGTTTTTAGTCCCAGGCTTGTCACTGGGGCTTCCATTCGCCACAAACGATGTGTCGAATTCAAGCTGTACCTGGTATCTTTCCTTTTTCTTTGTTGGCCACCTTCCACGTCCAAGTGGAAAAACAAACCAGTCCATGGAACACGATGCGGTTAACATCAATGGCCACGAAATGCTCCGCGCCACGCTACAAACTCTCAAACTCGAGACCGATAGAGCGAGGGGCCTAGGGTGGAAACCTTCAACAGGGTGGACAATACTCTCGAGTGTTACGACAATCGGGAGACCAGGTGGACATCCTCAGCTCGCACTCTGGAAGAGAATATCCGTGGTTGGCTGTGATCGCACCTGCACCCGTTGCAAGTAGGGTCGCCAGAGGTAAGAAGTGGCCACCAGCAGCACCAAGAAGTTCTTCAAAAGCATACCGACTCGGTAGGCCACGTAACACTGAAGGAGAACAAATGTTGTCAACGGATACATAGCACGCATCAGATATCGTTAAAACTCGTCGCATAGCACGCCAGAAGGTATCGCACGTGTTTGGCTGCGACGCTTTAGAGGAGGCACAATGAACACGCTGAGGTACCGTGGCATACAGAACCCCACGTGAAGTTGTACCTGGAACAATTCGTCGCCGTAGCGGTATGTCTTGCCGGATAGCTCACTGTCGGTGGGATACACCCATCCGGCAAACAGCTGCCTCCACACGAACATGGAAGCGACAGACCAGATGGTCATGGAGATGTCCTGGTGCAGGGCGACAACGTAGTAAAAACTGTCCGCAAAGCGCAAAGGACGGGAATGCAAGCGCAGCGAGGAGGGCGACAACGGTCGGAGGGGGCAATCAGGGTTGGTTTTCGCAAGGCTTATGATAAACTGGAATCGAATCTCGATATTAACCTCGATTCACATGTTAGGCTCGAGGGTGTGGCATCATAGCCCGAGGGTAGCCGCCCGACACATCTTCAGTCCCCGGTATTTTTACTCGGACAGAGAGTTCGTGAGGAAAACTCGCAATAGTCGCTCGCCGTTTGAATCGAAATTGTGCCGGTTTGTGCGCCCGGACACATACCCAGGAATAGGACGTAGGTTGCCACTGTGTCATTTTTCTGCTAACAAACGTGTAGCACAAAGAGCTCAACTTGAAGATAAAAAACGACGTGATAATTGAAGACCTGGGTTTTCTTGTAACCCTGTGGACGCCATGCAATCACAGCTGCAAGTGCCGGATCTGTATGCCTCGTTCGTCACCGTGATTCAAACACCACGCCACGGCCGCACAGCCTGCTTCCGAATTTCTCATGAATGGATTTCGTGTGGTGACACAGAAATCTACCGCATATTTGGCAAGCCAACATGTAAACAACAGCACCCTTTTCCACAGGTTCCGAACCCGAGGCGTTGAAACGGCGCATGATGTATGCACGGGTGCGAGGAAAGATGGGTCGGGCTGAGAAACAGACCAGGCAGAAACGTATCTATCTACAGGGCCTGCAAGATAGGCCAACGATGGTGATCAGAGTCAAAGGTGTACCTGTGTAAGAGCTCTTCGGGGAATTCTTAATGGGACCACAAAAATAAATTAGTAGAAAATGGACATGTACCTGTTCCCTCTGTAGAGGAGGGCCGACGCCCTCGTGGTGAGAAAATAGGCGAACAGCCTTATCGTGAAGCGGATCATCGGGTAGGAGAGGAAGATTGTCGACGCAAACCCGACTACATTGACGATGTTCACGTCTTTATCCCTGCTTGTTTGTCGGGGGTGTCGTTTGAATAGAGAAGCCGCATGCGTGGGTGGGAACGTCCCGACATGTAGTCACGAACGGTCAACGTTTGCAAGTGATGCGGACGTGGTGCCAGCAGCATCAGCACAAGCAGCAGCACAAGCAGGTTGGTGCCGATCCAGGAGCGGAACGCACGGCAAAACGAGCAGCCGAGAAGAGATGAAAGTCAGCATGGGCCGATTTTGTGCGTGGCGCTCTTCAGCATCTTCGCGGTGAGTCACCTCGTTACGACGGCGTGAGACCGAACACTAGCACGATCGATAACTCACTCCCCAACCCCGCCACATGTTGCCAAATACTTCTAAGACCCTTACGTTCATCGACCAACGGTTTGCAAAAGGCGACACGACATGACTACGCTATCGGCAAGGCTGCAACAAGTTTTTTCCTACACAGATTCCCTCTCGGCGACACGTGAAATGGGGCAAGGGGTTTTCGTACGCACAACTGACAGCGGTGGTGGTTTCGAGGCGACAACGTAGCTCCTACGGCACGCAAAAGACAAAAAGATCTAGCAAGCCATGCCATTGTGGCGAAACTCACAAGCGTCCCGCAAACTCGCGGAACAAGGTGGCCACGACAAGGCTGCCCAAGATCAACATCAGAGCCTTCCTCGCCAGCACGATTTCGTCCGCGATTTGGATGCTCTGCATGACCAGCAAAGTAGCAGCGTCAAACGCGAACACGGTCGTCGTCGTTAGCAACACAGTTCATGGCAGCACCATATCAGTGTCAGCATCTGTATGCCAGCATCACATCAGTGTCACCAGCACTTGAAACAAATCCCCTAAGCCAGCCACAAAAAATACGAATCCAGCACGCGCAACACAGCCGAAATTGAGCGCAACGGCTGAAATCAAAGCGGGGCGGATCGACATACTGTTCATCCCAGAGGGGCGACTACAGGAGCGGAAGAAGATACATGTTTGTCGCCTATCTTGCAATGAGGTATTCCCCGTGCACCTCGTTCCTACTTACAGTCCTACTGCCCGATTCGAATCCCGCTCGCATGACCGAGAGATATACTCCGTCGTCCACAATACCTGAATCTCCCCGATCATGAGGTCTGTCTCACTCCTGGTGTCTATCCGCTCCTCTTTCGTTTCGCGAACGTGGACCAAGTTGGGCCGTTGCTCAGTGGCATCCAGCTGAGGAGGAGTTGCTGGAATTCTAACTCCATCGAGAGCGTTGGGCAGAGACACGCGGTCGCTGACATGCCCCATCGAACCCGCAGCAGGATGACGGCGCGTCTCATCCACGCCGCCGCCAACGCCGCCTTCTTCGAGGTGGTGGGGATTGACGGAGGCTTGATAGTTCAAGGTCTGCTCTCGCCCTGATGCCGATGCAGGATAGTCTTTCGTCGCGCCGGAGAATGGGCTCGCTCCCCCAACGTCTGCTGCCGATAGTGATGTTTGCCCCGAAGGAGGCCTCTTTTCTGTAGATGAAGGAGAGGGCCACAGAAACCCCATGAGGCTGCTGACATTTTTCTTGTGGCTCGGTCCGACGCTTGTGGTTTTCGAAGGCTCCCTGCCGCTGGTGCCTTTCGCGCCGTGTGAAAATAGGTCACCGTTTGATAGAGCCCTGTGTTCATGCGGTGAAGCAGCGCACAAAGGTGTGTTGTAACAATGGTCAGGAAAGGTGATGATGAAAAGTCACCCCGGCTGTGAAGTGAAACATGGCCACCTCCCGGCGATAGGACTAACTTCGGCTTGGAACCGGCGAATGCTGAACTCAACGGTGAGAACGGCCATGCCCATCGGGAAGCACCACCTTGCCGTTGAAGCACATTCCGCCGGTGGTCCCCATCCCCGCCCCCCCTCCACATGCCCGCCCCGTGGCTCATTCCCTGTTTCCTTCTCTGAATTTGTGTCTGCTCTACGATGTAAGTCAGTGTTATGAAAAGACCGGGAGCCCACAGAGGTCAACAGTATGAAGGAAAATATTTCGCACCTTGCAAGTCCTCGGATCGGGAACTCCTTCTCCCGCTCCATTTGAGCTGCTTCTGCAGCCAGCGCTTCCTCAAAAACTTGTGCGTCGTCAGACCTCGACGACCTCCTGCTTTTCGTTCTGTACGCCGGGGACCGGGGTGGGGGGGCACGAGGGGCTTGCTTTTCCTCAAAACAAAACGTGTAACGGTGCACACGTGCCTTCAACAGCAACTACGGCCTTCCAACGGACGCATCTCGTTCACGCGCGTAATTACTGTTCCCAACAGCGTAGGGGCGACGGCAGGGCCTAACAAACCTGCTGCTGCTGCTGCTGCTCCGGCGGTGAGTAGGTAGCCAGCAGGAGTGGAAGCATGCTGCAGCAACAGAAGCAACCAGCAATATTCTACAGCGACAGCGGTTGGTGTATCTTTCCCTACTACTAGCTGACGCAAAAACTAGATTCTCAACAACCGAAACCAGACACCCGCCCTGGCGCATTGGCACTGCCACAGCAACTCCGGCATTGCTCTCGGTCGGCAGAACAGGGCAGCACAGTCTTACCGGTCTCACCTATAGGATCAGTTGATTGTGCGAGGGGTTATCCTGTGCGACGTTGACAAACGCATCAAGCACTCACTGCATGGATGCTTTGGGAACACCTCAAAAACATCGCGATAGCGGATTCCACCACTGCCCATACTGCGGTCTACTGATAGCGTGCGTGCAGCGTTCTTTCTTGAAGCAGCGCTTAGGTCGAGAGGGACGCAGAAGAAGCACTCTGTTAGCTCAAGAGTAGCTGGATGCAGGCTGACTGTGCAACAAGCAGCAGAAGCAGCTGCAGCCGCAATAAATGTTCCATCCCTCGCTTGCGTAGCAGACGTACGATCGTGGGCACACATCTTGTGTTGCACCCTACGCTAATATCGTAGAAAATGCTACGGCTGCGTGGGCGGGGTCCATCAGCGCCAACCCCGCCCCGCGCAAACTAAAGCCGAACGAGTGTGAGCCAAGCGTGGAAAGGAATGAATGTAGCACCGTGCTACATGAGGAAATTCAGGAAGGAGAAATGCAGCACAGAGCGTTTTCCACTGGTCTTTTCAAGCCTGACACCACCTACAGAACATCATGTTCGTGTCTGTAAAACGGTACAACTCGCAGGCCAAAACGAAAAAATGGTCATGTGGCGCGAACGGGGACTGTTTCCAGTCTGCCGATCTGGCCTGACCTGCCGACATTGTTCAAACGAGTACATGCGGTCCGTCAGTAACGGCTTGGGCGGGATAAACGTCAATCACGCATCAGAAACATGTTCCCGTGTGAAGGGCCAGGACAAAATGAGCTGTGACTTCATGTTTGCTTCACAGCAACATGTCTACGAAGTGCCTGTGGGTTTGCCCCTATTTTAATAGTATGTGATTTTTCAGTCGACTAGTTCGCGGCCGCTAGACCGTGCGTTGCCGTGGGTGAGGCAGGCAGGCAAAGGGTTGGGTTGGGTTGGGGTTGGGTTGGGGTTGGGCCGTGGGTGTCAAATCCAAGGTGCGAGCCTAGCCTTCAACATCAGGTTAGACCTACGGAATCACTAACAGACCCTACATAGCCTTGTTTTCTTGTGTTCAATATCTGACATGATTGTCTGTATGCATGTTTGCCCGGTACTGCTGTCGGTGCTTACGTGCATATGCCTGGGCCGCAGGTCAACCGTACCGGTCGGTTGACGAATCTGACCCGTAAACACGATACTTCTACACAGTAGAGAGGCCATCAGCGTGAAACAGCAGCAGGCGATCACCATATGCAGCCCAGCAGGGCGTGCGTCTATATCGTATTGCGTCGGTTACGACGACTCCGTGGTGCGCGCGTGCTACCTCCACCTGTCTGGTTCATTCTCGTGAGCACTGACTGTGCGCGGCGGTGTGTGGGTGCCACCGTTCGGGCCGGAAGAGCCGGTGCCAGCCGCGATACTGCCACCAAAATCCAGCAACCCTGAAAGTTCATGATAGGTGTGAATAGATTGCATAGACTCCCTGTCGGGCAAAAAAGAACCCTTGTACATGGAGTAGCAGAACAGCATTGCTGTAGTGTAGGTTCAGAGGAAACGGCTTCAGGAACGGATGTGTGATGCGTTCTACATTTTGTACGGGGAACCAACCAATCGTACCCTCAAAACGCCACAGTTGTTCGAAGCGTTCTTATTTACCGTAATTAGCAAGTAGTAATAGGAAACAACACGGCAAAGCACGACTGCTGCGGGTACTGCTGCGGAACCATGCACCACCGGAGAGATTGAGCGAGGTGAAGGCAGCCAACCACATACCAACCCACAACAGCGCATAAGCACGGCCCGTTGTTATGCTTTACTGGAAACCAAGGTAAATGTTTCACGAGTCCCACTTCGCTCTTCCCTCTCTTCGTCCGAATTGCATCTTGAAGTAAGTTTATGACAGAAACGCTTTGCGCTCCCCCACCTGCCGTGCACCATGTGCGATCGCCGTCTCACGAGCCTACCCAGCCTACTGCTCACAGAACCAAGGCTGGTATGGTTCGAGTGCGAAGCATCTGCTCCCGTTTGTCTTGTGCTATCATCCAGCTGCTGCCTCTGCTGGGGATGGGGATGGGGCGGCAGCTGGTAAGTTTGGTTCCCCGGCCGTCGAGCGATGTCGCTTTCCTCTCGGGGCCGCCGGTAGTTGGCGCCACTGCCTCCAGAAGAGACCATGACGCTGCTCTTCCTGGTGTAAGTCTGTCAGCAGGGGGTGCATTCATGTACCTGTGGCAGGATCAATTGCCACAGGAACTTGGTGGGCGAAAGCTGGTTTGAAAGCGTGGGGTGTGTAGGCTGGAGTCCTGTGGAGCGGCGTTTTTTTTTTTTTTTGTCTTCCCTTGACAATCAGCGCTCACAGCACTACAGCAGTGGTGCCGTTTTGCCCAACCCCGTGGCCACACAGAAGAGCCCCTCTCTACCCTTCCCTCATGCGGTACTTTGCCGACGATTTTTATTGCAAGAAGAGTTCAGCACGCTCTTCCCTCTGCGTACACACGAACTAGCGCTATCCACTAGGCCAGCAGCGAGCGGGAGCAAGAGAAAAGCTCACTTAGCAAGTTCGCGTACGCCGAGGTTCGAACCCCTGACCTACCCTCTAGAAGGTGTCGAGTGTACCAACAAGTCCACCGGGGCGACCGGTATGAATGATGTGTTACCCCGGATCCTCCGCGAAACGCGGATGCATCCGAAATCCGGCATCGGCCGTTACAAGTCGCCTCAGATCGTTACACAGCACACAGCAGCAGAGGAGCAACATAGACAGGCGGGCCTCGATTGATGTCGATTATACTACTAGTTGTACAGGGCCTCCTGTTCGCAAGCTGTGTACGCATGCAAGGATTAGACAGGAAGAACAAGTCTTCGTTCATGTTTGCGTAAGGGCGACCAACAAGTCACAGCCTTGCGCAATTATGTCGTTCTGTCGGTGCACACATGGAGCTTGAAGCCGTGAGCAGGGCAATCCGGCCGGCGCTGTCCAGTAGTTTGACCACAGGTACACAGATCAACGCCGACGTTGGTGCGCCTCGTGTGTCTTCCCTGTCGAAACGGATTCCACTACGTTATGCGCGCTGCTCACGGACGACTCTTCTGTCTCCATCCCCTCAAGGGAAAGACACCTCCAGCTAAACAGAAACTGTCCAACACAAGGTTTGCAGGAGTGGTGGTGAGCTTGGATCGGGGGGGTCGAGTGAGGCTGGTATCTCGAACGCGCCATTTATTATTTACGCTCGAACTGTTGAGTGCGCGCGATCGGCAAGCGAACCCAGCAGGAACCCTGCGTCCCACCTCTACTACACCACGTACAAAACAAGGGCATGGAATCATGGCGCCGATTTTCCGTGTCCCGTGATTCGTCGAAGAGAACACAACTTGTAGGAAAAGCTGTGCCCAAAAACTCCCTGGTGCCCCCGCACCCTTAACTGACCTACCCCGTCACCTCTCAACGAAAACAATACTGAGGACGGCTATAGCAGCGTCAATTCGATTACATCCCTGCACAACGAAAGCAAGAAAAAAAATCGGCAACTTGTAAGTTGCCGCCCAGCTACAGCATGTAGGCTAATTATCATTCGCCCGCGTTTTCGCTTACGCAGCACACATTTCCCGCAACAACGACTTTCGCCGTGACGGCCGCCTTCTCCCCGAGTTGCTGTGACGGCAGCACTGCCAGACAGCACGACAACAAACGATATTTTCTCCATCTCGCCATGCAAAAAATAAGCACGACTTCACTTCTTCTTCGAGCTCTTGGCGTCCTTGAGGAAGGCGTCGAGCCCGAACGGGTCGGCCTCCGCCGGGTCCGCCTCGAACTGGACGGGCGCATTTCTGGCTCCCGTCGCCCCGCTTTCCGTACCCTGGAACAAAAACGAGCGATGACAACGGTCCACAAACCACCGGCGCATTGGACGAAGCAAACGTCACATTCGAGCCAAAAAACATTCGAGCGACAGGGAGGCGAAACAAACATGGAGACAGCAAGCACAAGCGATTATATCAGGCACGGACAAAGATGCAGATATGAGAGAGGGAGACAGACAGACAGGCAGACAGACAGAGGAACGCGGATGCGCATCCCAGTAGAGGAAACGTCAAGTGTAAAGCGGTGTCATCCCGAGGGCATCCAAGACATCGCCTGAGCAGCGTGGAGAAGGCGAGTATTGCTCCTTCTTTCCAATACGTGACACGACCAGAGGTACTAACACCCCAAAACTGCTTATCAACATTTTACCTCTTGTGGGACCCAACAGGACAACGCCATCACCAACAACAACAGCCGTAGGTCGGTCACCTTGAAGCCGCGGTCGGCGCGGAAGCGCTCCGTCCCCGTCAGCTGGCTCATCTGCTGGTCCGCGTCCCCCCAGGCGTCGCCGTCGTCCGTCTTGGGCTTGTACACCGACTGTGCCTCGCCGCGGTTGAACATCGGCTTCGAGTACACGCCGTACCCGTCTTCCGCACCGAAGCCCGAGTCCATGCCGGCCGACTGGTTGAACAAGCGGGCGTCGTACCTGATGCGCGTGCAAATTTCGCCCGAGAAAAAAAAAGTAACGGGGTTTTGAGCAATGACAACACCGGGGGAGGATGGTTGCAATGGGACACTGGCTGGAGCAGCAATGGTGAGGCCAGCGCAACGTAAGGGGAATCAACAGGACACCGAAGCAGAGGAGAGAGTTATGGAACAAAGAATGGCAGACGCTCCCGCCGTACAATCCACCATCCACACATGGACATGCCTCCCCATCAAAGCCGGTTTCGCTGGGAAGGCCTAGCCCCGCAACCCTGGGTCGTCCTCGATCAACTGCTATTCTGATGGAAGCGAGTTGAAGGCCCCCGGTGCAACCAGAGATGCGCATGTGCCTAATACGTACATACAGGTGGCGATCATCTCCAAAGTTCATAAACATTGTACTACACAACCCCATTGGGATTGACCTGGTAGTGGACACTTTTGCCTTAAACTGGAGACTAGAGCCAAACGAAGTTGCACGCTTGCCAGTACTACTTTACGTACACATGGAAGAAAGAGAGGAAACCTGATATGTACGCGAAACGACAACTCGAAACAAGGGCCCGACTTACAGGTCCGCGCCGCCCTTGCCTCCGCCCCCCTTGTGCATCCCCAGCGCAATCTTCTCCGAGATATCTCGGTCCTTCTCCTTGTCCAGCTTCTGCTTCTTCATGCCCCCCCTCATGTTCTGCAATGATCGAATGCGAGAGACAGGCGCAAACAACACACCCGACCGTAAAAAAACGAAACCGATCAAAACCACAAGACTGGGAAACAAGCAAGCAGCAGGCACTTCGCGCTTGTGTTGCTGACACATAGATCGAACAGGGCATGGGCAAATCAACGCCAAGCCCGTGTGGGAGCAAGGCTGGATATTCTCCGGGGGAACGGTGTCGGTGATATGCATCGGTCGGGGCCCTGTGAACAAGGTCTGAGGTTTGCACGGTGAAATACGCTCCCTCCCTGGCGTTCTCGATCATGGCCAATCGTGCCACAAACGGCGCCGACGCCATCCTCTATGGAATTGCAAGGTCACGACTGCTCATCCTTGGTCAAAACACACGGCACACATCGCCCCCCACCCCGCCTTCCTCCCTTCTCGGGCAAAGGACACCACCACAAAAAACACCCAACAAACCAAGAGAGAGGAGGATTGTCTTCCTCACATCGATCCGCAGATCCCTCTCGCGGTCCTTCTTCCTCTCCGCCCGCAACCGCTCGCGCTGCTCCGCGGCCACCCTCTCTTCGTCGCCCATCGCGCGCCCCCCTCCGCCTCCGCCTCCGCCTCCGCCGCCCCCGCGACCCCCGCCCCCGCCGTACCGTGCGTCTCCTGCTCCTGAGGGACGAGGAGCCCCCTCGTCATCGTCTGAATCGTCGTCCTGGGCCCCACCTCTGAGGCGAGACAATATCAAGGGGGGGCAGCAGTATCGGCGTAGGGAAGGTGAGCTGGGTGCGAGCTGGCCAATTTACAGTTACATAAAACTCGATTCATCGACCGGCGGGACGTTTTTGGGCCTTTCGCTGCCCTGTGCATTTTTGGTCTAGAACTTTCGTGAGATAAAACTCGCAAATATATCTTCACAGGATAAAAACACAGGACCGTTAGCGTGTGCCAATACATCATGGGACAGCTGGTGTTGGGCAGGTGGGCTGCCGTCGTGGTTTAGCCAAATTTTATCAACCGGAAGCAAGATGCAAGCGAAGATCAGAGTGCCTTTTGTCAAGGTAATATACATGTATGCACACCCTCACGTATTGAACGAACAGCGTACAAGGCGCGTTCGCCTCTGCCCAGAGCGCCCCCGACCCACGCTAGCTGACACTCGGTATGTTGGCGCTCGGGCACGTTAATGATTCCAAACCGTTGGTCCTTCTCTTTTTGCGACAAGAAGAACACCAAAGAGAGAGGAGAGAAAATAAAGGCATACGCACGCACACCCGTGCATCAACGGCAACAACAACTTCCAGCCTCCCCGCCGTGTCGAGTTGGAAGGGCCACCCTGACCCCCCACAAAAACAACGGGGCAGCCCATAAGCTACGCGGCGAGCCTTGTGGAACTGTGTCTGTTCGTTAAATCGTCTGTGCTTGCGCGCGATGGCGGCACCAGAGAAAGCGAGAAAGAGAAAGGAGCACGACGAGAGAGGAGGGCAGAGGGAAAGAGACCCAGTGCAGCACCATGCAGCAACCTCACGTACGCGTTGACACGCATGCAGCACTCCAAAAATCGTCAGGGCAGTGCCCGAAAGCTTGGGGGCTGGCAAAGGTGGCGTCGTTGTTATGACTGCGTGTGTCTTTGCTGTTGTAACGTCGGTGATAGCCTGTACTTGGGGCTCTGGAGCCCCACGCATAAATTTGCTCACAATTCACGCATCTTGGCCCAAAAGTCGCCTCCGATACAAAACTCGACCCATCCTTTTTTTGGGATCTTCCACTGGATTCGTACATTTCGTGTCAAGCTTTGAATAACTCTCGTTTGGGTGGTAACATTCTTAAGCCAATTTGATCAACTTGACTGTGATCGATGAACCGCTAAAGGCACACACCTTGTCTTGGTCCTACCTGGCTGTTCGATTTCCACGTGTCGCGGTGAGGGAAGGGGAGACGGCAAGCACTTACTTCAACCAACAGCGCCATTGCCTCCCTCCCCCCCTCCCTCCCCGGCACGTGCGCCAAAGAGCTGAAAAAAACACTTCTGCCGCTACCGCTGTGCTCCCGTTGCCGCCGTCTTCTGGCACTACAGAAGCAGAACCTTGCTATCGCCTTCATTCGCT